CGGGGGGCTGGCTCCCCATCCCAGCTGCAGGTCGAAGGGCAGTTCCTGGGGAGGGAGCCCCCAGCTCTTTTCTGCCCAGGCTGTCCAGTTAAGGGCCCCCCCTCCCCGAAAGGGCTGGGAAGCCAGCGGGGTCCCAACCTCTGTTCCCCCATCCTCTCCAGAGCCCCCCCAGCACCCGGGTCCCCTGGCGTGTCCCCCTCCCCCAGGTTTACACGAATCCCAAACAAGCGATGTTTATAAACAGCCGGGGAGGGTGCAGACCAAACACAGCCGCCCGGGGCGAAGGCTGCCCCTTGGCCTGGCTCCAGGTCTCACTGGGATTGAGCCCCAGTCCCTGTCAGCTCCCTGGCTAGAGCGGGGTGAGGGCTCTGGGACACAGGTGCAGTCCCCAGCTGCCCATCGGGGGGGCATGGTCCTGGGTTCAAATCCCCTCCCCCCGGGCTGCGTGTGACGCCCCGCCCGTCTGCTCGCCCAGGTGATGATGTTCGGCAACACGTTTGTGGCCGAGGAGCTCCTGAAGCAGGGCGCCAGCCCCAACATCCAGGACGAGGCTGGCCGGGCGCCCGTCCACGACGCCGCCCGCACCGGCTTCCTGGACACCCTGCGCGTGCTGGTGGAGCACGGGGCCGACGTCAATGTGCCCGATGGGGCGGGGGCACTGCCCATCCACGTGGCCATCCGGGAGGGGCACACGGAGGTGGTGCGGTACCTGGCGCCCGAGTCCAACCTGCGGCACCGCGACGCCGAGGGGCGCACCCCACTGGAGCTTGCCCGTCACCTGGGCCTGTCGCACCTCCAGGCCATCCTGGAGCAGCACCTGTCTGCCCCCGCGTAACACCTTCCTGGGCAGGAGGTGGGTGGCACCACTCTGGGGTGGGGGTGGCTGGCTCCTCCTGGGACATCCCCAATCCCTCCGTTGCACCCGCCCCAAAGGGACGTGCCTGCCCCTTCCCGTCCTAATTCCCCCCGCCCGTGTAAAGGCAGCTCCCCGCCCCCCACCTACCTCAGAGTTCGTCTTTAACTTTCACTGTTGTTTCTATTTATATTTTTTGTGGGTGCTTTTCTCCCCTCCTAGGATGTTCCCAAGTGGGGGGGGTTTCTCCTCACCCTGTCCTCTTTGCCTCCCCGCTCCCTCTCGGGTTGCTGACCTGTGTGTGTGTGTGTGCGGGGGGGGAATGCCTGGTTTTGCTGCCCATGATTCGAACTTGGATCCCTGGGTGGCTTGCTAACCTTGCACCCGGGAGGAGTACCTGCCACCCCGCAAAGCCTGTCTGCGGTGCGGGGAGGGCACGGCGACACAATGGTGCTGCCGTTGCAAAGCCAGACCTTCCCTGCCACCTGCAAAGCGGGGGGGTGGGGGTGGGGTTGTGTGATTCCCCAGGAGAGAGCTCCATGCACAGTGCTCTCTGGTCTCCCCCCACCCCCGTATCTGCCGTTCCCCCCCCTCCCCTGTACAGTGTTATTTTGTGAGTGTCCGTTTTGCATTGAATCCAGCCGGGTGGGGCGGGGGGCACTGGGAACTGTGGCATGCAAAGGATTAATGGGGCCAAGCTGATGAGGGGGGGCAGGAGGTTAGAACCCAGCACAGAGGGGGCCTGCTCCGGTCTCAGCGCAGCGCTGGATTTGAGTCGGCGCTATGGGGCAAATACCTATGTCTAGGGCCGGCCAGCAGTTGGGATCCCCCATGGCAATGCATGGGGCTACTATTAAAGAGGGCGTCCCATGGGCAAGAGCCTCACGTTGCCCCTGGAGGTTCCACACCCACTCCCAGCTCTGTGCCTCCTGCCCCTCTTCAGTCCAGGCTGCCCTAGAGACTACACATCCCAGCATGCAATGCGGCTCAGGCTGGGTTCTGTGGTCTCGCCAAGCCACGCTCCAGCCACGTTTTGGGGGATGGTGGCTGGTGTTTTCTCCCGGGGACAGGCGAGCCGCGTCCCTCCCCCCCGAGCGCCCGTGTGTTTGAAAGAGAATTGTCTTTGCGTTGAAAACGTTTGAGCTTGATTCTTCCGGCAGCAGCCTCTTCCCCGGATGAATTGGTGGATCTGTGCTGTGTACATAGTGTTTTTTTTTTAAAACAGAGAAAAGATTAAACCAGATTCTATTTATTGTGCTTTGGAGGAAATGTTGGGGGATAATTTAATGTTTTTAACCATTAAATTAATATTTGTGGATTATGAATCCTGGCTCTTCCTTCCGGCAGAGATGGCGGCCCCAGCGGCCTGGGTGGGGCTGGTGGGTTCCCTGCAGCTGTCTTGCCACAGAGGTGGGGAGTTAGGATCTCAATGCACTTTTCAGTCCGACTTCCCGTCACTGCTCCCATTTGATACTGGGAGGGGAAGTGACTCTTCTGAGGTGTCACAGATTGCAACAGAGCCCGGGGCAGAACCCAGGAGTCCTGGCACGCAGCAGCCCCCCGCTCTAACCACTAGACCCCACTCCCCTCCCAGAGCTGGGCAGTAGTTGCAGCTGCCCTGATACCTCGTGTTTTGCACCCACGTCACATCCCACACAACTACAGCAGCACAGTCCCCTGACTCTGGCTCCCCCGTCGCTGGCGTGCCCTGTGTGCCAGTTGCTGTAACTGCTGGGGGGAGGACACTGGGGGTCTGGCACCATTGCTCCCTGGTGCATCACCCTCCCCTTTCCCCTGTCTGAGTCTCCTGCTCCCTGTAGCCTGCAACAGGGACTGGAGAAGATGCCAAGAACCCGCCTCGATCCCCGTGATTTGGGCAGAGCTCTCCTCCCACCTGCTCCATGGGCTGTGGGGAGAAGGGGCTCAGAACTATTCAGGTTTGTCCGGAGCCTTTGCCGGGCTGGCCGTGACTCTGGCTGGGAATCCAGCCCGACCTTAGCTGCTCACGCAATGCTGGGAACTGTGCGCCTGGAGCCCGGCTTGGGGATGCTGGCCGGGTACCTTCCCCTTTTCTGCTAGGCCCCTAGGGGGCAGGGGAACTGGCTTCCCTGCTACGGCCTGGAGGTTCCTGCTGCAAGGGAGGGTATCTGGCCTGGTTCAGATGCTGCTATAGGAACTGGGGGGGGGGGCAGCGGGATCCGCCCTGGCGCTCGTGGGGTGGGGATCCCAGCTCCCAGGCCTGTCTCTGCTCCTAGCGCTGGCTGGGTCTCCGCAGTGACGCTGCAAGGGAGGCTTTATCGGCCGGACTGTCACTGCGGCCTGGGCCCAGCCTCTGGGTGGGGCGCTCAGTGACACAGCAAGGGAAGGAAGGAAGCCAGCGTTTGGCAACGCGAGCTGGGTGCCTGTTGCCAGGCCAGGGTGGGGCAGCTCAGCCTCCGAGCTAGGAGGGGAGGAGAGAGGTGCGCTGCCTGCTGCCAGGCGCTTTAAAAAATAAAAGCGAAAGCCCTGGGCCCAGCTGGGGCCGTTTCACAACCTCCCAGCCTGGGGCAAGTGCCGGAAGCCGCGAGCAGCTGGGAGGAGATTACTGGAGATGGAGGCTTTCCCCAGCCACAGCTCCTCACCCCCACCCCACGGCGGGCCCCGTTGTTCGGTCCTCGCTGCATCCCAGTGATGTACCTCACAGTGGGGCGAACCCACCCGGTGCATCTCTCCCCCTAGCAGAGTCTGCCACAGACCCCAGGGAGCTTAGGCCCAAATCTCTTTGGGCCTCAGTTTCCCCATCCGTACAATAGGGGCGAAAGCTCTGCCCTACGTCCTGGTTGTGGCACGCAGGGACCACAGGGGTACGAGCCAGAGGGCTACCTCAGATACAGAGCGTTGCTAAGGGGCACCTGGGGCTGGGATAGCCGGGGGGCTGTGGGTTGGGACTGAGGGGCACTGGCAGAGCTGGGGGGGGGGGTTGGTTGGGGAAGGAGGTGGGGGGAGGGGGGAGGACACTGTCTTCAGTGACAGCTCCAGGTTGCTGCGGTCCCTTTAAATGTGGGGGGGGGGCTGCCCCTGAGCCCCGCCTCTTGGCCTGCCCACGTGGTTCCCCGACCCGGAAGTGCCGGCGCCCACGTGGTGGGCGAGGAAGATGCCGGAGCCGGAGCTGAAAATCAACGCGGGCTTCGCGGCCCGCTACGGGCGCTACCGGCGGCGGGAGGAGCTGCAGCGGCGTGAGCCGGGGGCCGGGCCTGCCGAGGGGGGGAGCCCCCCACCCCAAGGGCGCCTTTACCCAGCAGCCCCCCCATTGCATGACATCTGCCCCTGCAGCCCCCCCTTGTCCTGGGCTGCCCCCCAGCTCAGCGAATAGCCCCCCGCCCTGACCCAGAGACCCCCCCGTTCCTTCCATGGTCCTGGGGGAGGGGGTGGGACCCCTGGGGGAGAGGCACCCGCAGACCCCCCGGCTCCCCGCTAACCCCACTGCCTTTGATCACCCCAGTGCAGGATCGCTATGGGGCCGACGCAGGGGCCGGTGAGGAGTCCAGCTCGGAATCGGAGGAAAGTGGGGACGACGGGGTGAGCCTGGGATGGAGGTTGGGGGTCAGCGGGCCTGAGAACGGGGAGTGGCTTCAGACCAGGACTCCTGGGTTCTCTCCCCGGCTCTGGGAGGGGAGTGGGGGCTGGTGGGTCAGAGCAGGGGGCTGGGAGCCAGGATTCCTCCTGGGTTCTGACCCCGGCCCTGACGCTGACTGGCTCTGTGCCCTTGGGTGAGTGACTTCCCTGCTCCGTGCCTCAGTTTCCCCCTCTGTCCTGTGGGGATAATGCTGAGCTGTGCCTTGTGGGCTGGGGTCAGTGCTAGACACAGGGCCCCAGAGAAAGGATGGGGGGTCGCTCTTGACTAACCCGCTGGCCCCGGCAGGAGCTGGACCCCCTGCAAGACAGAGATTTCTATCGCACTCTGGCCCTGCTGAAAACCAAGGATCCCAGGATCTACCAGAAAGACGCCACCTTCTACAGCCAAGCAGGTAACATCTCCCCCTCCCGTGTGTGCCTCTGCTGGGCACCCCTCCCCCTCGCTCCCTGCCCCCGGTGGCTCCCCCCATCTGAGCCGCAGGGTTGGCGTAACTGTGGGACCCGCTGGGCACAGTAACTCCGGGGGGGACCGCTCGGGGCAGAGGCCTGGTCCTGGCTCCCATGGGCAGCTCGCCACGTTGCCATAGTAACCTAGGAGGGACACACTGCATGGGAGCCCCTTCCTGCTCCTCCCACCCCCCCCAGCTTAATTCCCATGTGGGACCCCTCCCCCCCGCTGCCTTTACTCCATTCCCAAAGTCCCCACCCCCAAGGCCCATGGCTGGGGTCTCCGAGCCAGGAATGCTGGGCTGTGGTTCCCTGATCTATGGGGACGCCCCTTCCCGGCCTGCAGGACACTCGAATCCCTGGCCCGCGCGTCCAGCTGCTTCCCCTGGCCCGGAGCGCCTGTCCCCGCGCTGAGCTGGGCTGTGGCTCTGTTCTCAGGTTCCTTGTCCGAAAGCGGGAGGGGGGCAGCAGCAGCTCCGAAGAGGAAGGAGAAACCCATGTACCTGAAGGATTACGAGAGAAAGGTGATCCTGGAGAAGGAAGGGTAAGGAGCGGGGGCTGGGCTGGGACGGGTGGGGCCCCAGAGGTCCCTGGAGGGGCGATTTCATAGAGTTTAAGGCTAGTTTAAGTGAGCAAGACCCACCAGCTATGCATCTTAGACGGAGGATGCTTTGTCCCGGCTCAGAGCCCTGATTTGCACTGACTGATATCTCATCTCCAGCCAAGGCCAATCCCTGATGCTTTAGAGGCAGGTGGGAGGGGGGGACACAGCCCAGAATATATCTGTCTAATTGTGCACTGGGAAAAACATCCCTTCCTGACCCCTGCAAGCGACTGGCTGAGGCCCTGAAGCCTGCGATTGGATTATAGCCATTGGCTTAATGCAGAGCTTCAGGTGTTAGGTGTGTGTTGAGGACAACACGGATGAGGGGTTGGCCTCCCTCTGGAGCCTTCTGGCCAAAGGCCCAGGACTGGTTGCCCCGTGGCTGAAAGGGCAGTGCAGAGTTCGAGGGGTCCTCCTCCGGCAGGCAGCTGTGGGTCTGTGGCAGTGTTGACATAGCCGGGATTGGGTGCTTGGCCCCTCTGCCGATGGCGTCCGACATGGTGCAGGGGCGGCGTAAAGGCTGAAGCAGCCAAATAACCCGTTTTCTTCCTCTTCCAGCAAATACGAGGAGGATGAGGAGGACGAGGAAGCAGCAGCTGAAAGACAGAAGGTGGGGAGGGGCTGGGAAAGGGCCTTTTCAGGTTGGGTGGGGTGGGGTGGCTGTTTCTCCACCCAGAGAGAGTGAGGGAGGAGGTGCCAGGATGCCTCCCCCCCTACAGAGCCTGTTCTGCCTCCTTAAACCCCACCTGCGGTGTCAGTGGGACATGGGATTCTCCTCTTCCTGCCCTATGCTGTTGCAGCATAGCTGCTGAAAGACTGCTGGGCCTCACCCCAGAGGTGGCCGCATCTCAGCGCCGGGGGAGGGATTCCTTTGGGGGTATGGAGACTGGTGCCAAGTTTAGCCCTCTGTCTCCCTTGCTGTGCAGAGAGCCGCCTCCCAGAGCTACGTTGAGGAGCAGAAGCGAATCAAGGAGAGGTGAGGGGGAGGACGAAGTGTGGGGCACAGGGTGGGCGTGGGTGACCAGGGTGAGTTCCTGCAGGGACCCACCAGCCACAGGGGCCACCGGGGGGATGGGCTGTGAGCCCCCAAAGGGGTAGGTATGCAGCAGCTGCCCATTGGGGAGGTGCCGGCTGTGGGGGCGACAGGTGTTCAGCACTCCAGCCAGGCAGGCGTCTGTGGTCAATTGGGGGGGGGATCCGGTGCCTTTGAACCCCAGTGCCTGCTGCTAATCCCGCGGCGTCCCCGTCCCGGCAGCTTCCGGCCCTTCGTGGCAGACAGCGACGGGGAGGAGAGCGCGGGGGAAGGCAGCTCAGCCCTGCTGCAGAAACGGATCAAGAGCACGGAGGAGAAGGTGGGTGACTGGTGGGGGCGGGCGGGGGGGTTGTTCTGGGTCCCTGGGCCAGTGGGGGTTCTGGGCAGAGACGGTTCCTGTGCCGGGGGGAGGTTGGTGGGGTCAGGCATCTGGGCTCAGGGGCTGCGGTTCTGGGGGCTGGCTCCCCTAGGTGGGGATCTCGGCACGGCGCCTCCTGCTGGGCTGGCTGGATTTGGGGGGCGGGGGGGGGCCTGTGCAGGCATCTGGGGTGCTGACGGGGTCTCTGCTTATCTCCACCCCAGGCGCGTGAGGAGGAGGGCTATGTCAGCTGGCTCAAAGGGCAGGATTTGCCCCCGGACCAGCAGCTCGAGGACCTGGTAAGCGGGCACCTGTTCTCCCCCGGCCAGGTGCTGTCGGAGCCCCCGACCCCAGGGCCAGCGTCCCATGTGGCCTGCCCCTGGCTGCCCGGGCTGGGCGCGGCCGGTGTGAGGAGGATGCCTGGGGGCCGGGCAGAGACCCCCACAAGCGCCCCCTGCTGGTGGAATAGGGTGGAATAGGATCCACAGCCAACGTAAACCCAAATCGTGGCCACCAACCCCTGGCCCAGCACTCGGCCCTTTGCCCGGGTCTCCCCTCTGGAGAGTCCGTCCTCAGCCCACAGGCAGGAGGCACCTGCTGGTCCCTGCCGGGCGCCGGCCCCTCAGGGCTCTGTTCTGTTCTCTCCCTTGCGATATCCTGGGATGCGGAGCCCCAAGGCCTTTCTGGGGCCAGCCAACCTGTGACGGGGCAGCGTGGGTCAGCCCAGCCTTAGATCCACTCCTCCCCGCCCCCGTCTCCCTGCAGCTCTGGCTCTCAGGGGCCCATCTAGACGGGGATCCCGCCTCCGACAGGAGTGGCACCAGCTGCTTCAGAGGTAGGAGTGGGAGGCAGAAACGGGATCACCTGCCACTGGGGGAAATCCCCCCTGACCCACGTGAGTTAGGGGGTTGGGGTCCTGCCCCAAAGCAAGAGGGGGTCCTAAGCCCCAAAGTGAGAGGGGGTCCTAAACCCCTCTCCCAACTCTCGGTTACTCTAACCCTGGCCTCAGTCGCCACCTTGTGGCAGTGAGTTCCGCCGTCCTCTCTCCACCAGGCCCCGCTGAAGGAGTATTGGAGCGACCCCACGCTGGCCCCCGGGGAGCGCTTCCTCCGTGACTACATCCTGAACAAGGGCTACAGGGAGGAGGACGAGGAGGAGGAGGAGGGAAGGCAAGTGCAGTGGGTGCACCTGGGGAGCAGCTTCCCTGCCCCTTGGGGCTGGATGAAGGGATCCCCCGACCCCAGGAGCCAGATCACAAGCGGACCATGTTTGATTGGGGGGGTCTCTAACATGTGGGGCCTGGCCTGACTCTCGGGGCTGCGTGCCCTGCAGATCCAGTGGGGTGGGCGGCTCCGCCCCAGCTGCGCCTGCCTGGACATGTGTCCTTTGGAACTCCTGGAGACCGGCTGCCTCTCCCATTGGCCAGTCTGGGGTGGGTGTGATCATCCTGGCCAATCAGAGCAGGAGCTGGGGGGGGTGGTTATTGTTGTGGCAGGAGGAGAACCCACTGG